ATCGAGGACAATAGGAAACTATAAAACCACTCACTTGAGTATGCCATAGAGCTCGCTGCTTCGGAGCTTTCCAGCCGCGTCTCCCGCGCGTGTACCATAGAGCTGCTAGGCGAATCACGCGAGGCTCGATCAGGGAAAAGGCCGGAGTATCTCCCGATCCATAAATAAAAGCTGAAGCTCATAAATTTCGCGATAGAAACCGGCGGTCGCGCTCCGCACGCGAGTCAATCTGCATTTTAAAAGTCCGTCGCGCCGGACTTTCACTTCGTTAAGCGAATATAAGTCGATCATCTCGCGTCGCGGGATACTCCAGCCGTCCCGCGCGGCTCCGCGAGGGTCGCGTCTTGCGCGCGAAAGAGAGTTAAGGTCGCCATCGCCATCGCGCGCGCCGAGCGCGTGACGTCAGCGTCCGATATTTATGAACGCGCCCGAGGAAACCGACCTCCCCTCGCGTAAATAATCCGCGACTCGCACTCCAAATAGTCCGTTGCGATATTAACCACCGGCGACTCGTCCGATGGAGATACGACGGCGGCCCTTCTCCCTCTGCCTCCGTCTGTCTCTCTGCCTGGAATGGCCTTCCGTCTCAACTGCGCGAGGTGGACACACTCGGGGAATTTAGGCGTAAGCTGCAGGAGCACCTGCTGTCTGAGTCCGTACGCGGTTTGTAAACTTTTTCTTTGCTATTTTGTATTTCTAGGTATAACTTTGTAGCTTTGCTTCCTGCCCCTGATCTGTACGTGAGCGCCTACTTGTATGTATAATATGTACATTGGGTTAAATAGTTAAATCTCTGTTTACAACGTTCCACTCCTATGTGTTTGCATTCTATTTTATACTATACTTATTCTTTCATTTCTTACATTCTCATTTCTGCATATTTCTCACGTGCATTTCTCACTCACAGTTTCTTTCTTTTTGTAACAATTGCTTCTACGTTTTAGGGGACTTGTCCCAGAGCGTGTAATAAATAATGATTCTGATTCTCTCTCTGTCTGTCTGTCTCTTTCGCGTTCAAGGTCCTTCGCGATGCTTTTCACGCCACGCGAGCCTTATTGATCGCGGCGACGAGTGGAGTTTCCAAGGTAGCACAAGGTGGCCTTTCGAGCGATCCTCCGGACAATGACACCCCCGATGGCCAGCCGCCGAATAACTTTAGCGTGCTCGCACGTGGCGAGACGGGGACGATAAACACCGCGCGATAAGGCGAGCGCCCGCGCGGGCCCGAGCGAATTGTCGCGGAAAAATCGTGCGCCGACGCCGCTCGCTGCGGTTTCACGCTCGTCGGCCGATCGTTACGTCGTTCGGATGCGAAAAGTGAAAGGGGCACGTCGGTGCATTGTGCAACAGCGCGATCTAAACTCGCGGAGAAGCGCTTCTCGTTAAGAGAAGGTGTTTCGAGTTTCGACGATCGCGATTGCCTCCTCGAGATGTTCCTTCCCCAGGATCGAGACGTTCAAGCCTCGAAATCAATCTGCAACGTGCTCTTCTGCGTCTAGGATGAGTTTTCCACTAAATAGACTTCGCTCCGAGGGCAATAAATCGATACTGGAATCAACTGATGATGCCTATTCATTTAACAGAAACTTCTCTATCCCATATTAGGATCCTATCTCATAATAGGGGCCTTTCCTCTACCGTGCACTTTGTCAATTTGCACAAACTTTTTAAACGTATTTATCGGCTGCAAAATAGAATGTTTCTAGACGCAAAGAGCACAATTGTAGACTAGGCTCTGAACGCGAAGACAGAAGCGTGCCGGAAAGGGACGCTTCTTCCCGGTAGAATTCAATACCCCTTCGCCGATGCGGAAGTCTAAGGAGTTCGAGCAAACCCAGAGCCACAGATTCCAAGAAACGTAACGATATACATCACTGTTTTAAATAAAATAAAAAAGTTTCAAGCCTGCCGAAGCCGGGGAGGAAAAGCGTCGAAGATATTCGCCACCATCTTCCCTCGTTCCCGTCTTCCTTTATGTCCCATAAATCTGGCTTCTCACGATGCTGTCCCCCGGTAAACTTATTTCCGACAAACTAGCCATTTTCGCTGGGAAAGAAAGCGAGGACGCGGGTCCACTGGGAGTCGTGCGTCCCAATTACGCGGAAACATATATCCTCGACGCTCCGGTCAAGAGTCACCTTAAGTTAATTAGAGACACGACTGTATACAGGGTGTTTCGGATAAGGTGTCCGTCCGCTCGTGTACAGGTAGAGCGGGTTAAACCGAAGAGAAAAGTTATGTACTATTTTGTAAAATTCCCAATAGTTTACGAGTGATAAATAAAAATGTCTGGGCGAATGAACGCACGAGAAGCAATAGGCCGGACTTGGCGGGCACGTTAAATGCCTTATTTGTTTAGTCTCGTAGCAACAGTGGGCGTCCGATAGCGAGAGGTGGAGCGACGCACCGAAAAAAAAAGTTGTCACGCTCGTCCCTTATCGCTACGAGACTAGACAAATAAGCCATTTGATATCCGCCGAGTCGGGCTTACTGCTTCTCGTGCGCTTATTCGCTCAGACGTTTTAATTAATTACTCGATAACTAATGGAAATTTTACAAAATGGTACATAACTTGTATTTTCAGTTTAACCCGCTCTATCTGTATACAAGCGGATGGACATCTTATCCGAAACACCCTGTATGGACGGCGGTCGATTTACTCGCCAGACACGGTTTCGCGGAAAAGGGAATAACGCCGGGGGGTGACGAGGGATCCGCGACGCGGGGGAGAGAGATTTTCGAGAGGCCGCGAGCGCGGATCGGCTCCCGACATCGATCCGCGCGTCACGCCGCCGGGAAATCAACAAAGGAAATCTTCCGCGAGCGATCGATCGGCGACTAAAAATACGCGACTTTACGCTCCTAAAGCCCCGTGTCTACGACTCGAGAACGGCGTCCAAATTCCAGCTTCGAGAAACTTTTACGGGAAAACTGCGAACTGATTAGCTGCACTCTTTAAAAATTAATCGATGAATCGTCACTGAAAACAGTGACTAGTCACTGCGATTTTCAATGGTATACTTATAACTGCAAATCGGCGACTATTCACTTTCAGTAATATAATCCGCCAATTGATTTTTACACAGTAAAAAAATAAAACAATGTTAATATTGTTTTCATTAACATTTTCGCGTGTCCCAAAAAGGCGTGTCGATGTTACATGTTTCGGTGGACTTTGAGAAATAGTCGTGAAAAAACGAGAAAATTTCAACACACGATTTTTTACTGTGTAGAAAGCACGTTTCACGGGACTGGACACAGTTCTTGAATCGTGGACACAAGGCTCGGTGGGGGTGGGGCGGGTGTGGGCGCGCGCGCACACACGGCAAGGGTTTCGGGCGCTCGGGACTACCGCGGGGTGGTATCGAATTACGGAAGGTGCGCGGCAATGAACACTTGGAGGGTGTCCCGATCGAGCGGGCGACGGCTCGCGCCGCCTCGTCGACCTCGCTCGGCCGAGATAAAAATCGAAAGCGCGTGTGCGAGTTACGATCTGGATACGCTCGCCGCGACGCTATTTCGCTGGTACTTGTTCGATACCCGAAGCGACAGCGAAAAACCGCACTCGATGTTGACGTAAACAAACCTTACGTCATTAGTCGACGCGTCGTTCCTTCCGAGCGCGACGGGCCCGAAAAATATTCGGAGTAAAATGTTCAAGGTAAAAGTATTCAGGGCGATTCCGCTCCCTTCGCTCCCTCGTTCTTTTGCAAATGATTATGACAGTCTGGCAAGTCGCGGAAATGAGTAAGGCCCAATTTCGCCACACGTCGCTTAACCTTAATCTCAGTTTAATTCACGTTTGTCTCTTTCTAAAGCAACAGTTGGAATGAGACAAAGAACAAAGTAAACTAAGCTTAAAGTTAAGCGCTGTTGGTGAAACCGGGCCTGAGGCCCAATTTCGTCAAACGCTGCTTAACTTTAATCTCAGTTTAATTCACATTTGTTTCCATCTAAAGCAACAGTTGAAAAGCGACAAGGAAATAAACTAAGCTTAAAGTTAAGCAAAGTTTGTGAAACCGGGCCTGAGGCCCAATTTCGCCAAACGTCGTTTAACTTTAATCTCAGTTTTAATTTACGTTTGTCTCTTTTTAAAGCAACAGATGGAAAGCGACAAAGAAGTAAACTAAGCTTAAAGTTAAGCGACGTCGGTGAAACCGTTTGAACAGTTAACCAGAAAATGAAAAGCCCGGGCCTTGGTTTAATTCGCGTTTGTCTCTACAAAGTAGAAACGTTCTATGTTGTAGCCAATGAATACGATTAAAAAATTTGTGCAAGTTGATAAATTGTATATTATGCACTGCAAAAACCGTACATGATTCTGTTTATATAAAATAGAATCTATACGCAGAATGCACATCGTAGATTGGACTTAACAGTTGGAATGAGACAAAGAACAAATTAAGCGAAGCTGAAAGTTAAACAACGCCGGCGAAAGAACGTCGCCTAAAACGTCGACTGACGATTAGAAGAATGGGCGCGTTAACGTGGGCCGCCTGGAGGTGCGAAGGAAAAAATGGCTGGCGAGCAATCGAACGTAATAATCCAATTTCCACTGTCGCGGATGGGCGCGTATTCGACTCCGCGGCGGACACGCGATCGCGATATAACGCGCGACAAATAATCTAAATTTAGCCGACGCAATAGCCCGAGCCAGCCGCGAGCGCGAATAATCGCATTCCGCGGATGACCGCTGAAGGAATTAAATCCCGGAGAAACGATTTCCGTCAGCGGGCGCTGATGGTCGCCGCGGAGACGGTGGTCCCGCCTGTCGTCGGACAACGAGACGGCGATGAGGTGGAGAGTGACGTGAGGAAAGTGAGGCGGTAAGCGCCGCGTCACTTAACTTATACCCCAACAATCGCACGGGGCTCGCTTCTTAGCGTCCGCCATGCACGCAGAGATAGGGGGTTGGGGGACGGTCAGCCCCGAAGAGGGGGGGGGGGGAGGGAGCGGGGCGAAAGAGAGAGAGAGAACGGTCTACTATATTGATCACTGACCTTTCCTGCGGCCGAACGGGCCGAAGAACGTGCCGTTCTTGCCGATGACGTTATCGTCGATGTACTTGAGCAGCTTCGTGGTGTCCTCCCCTTTTTTCGCGGCGATCGACTTGACGGGGCGTGGTGGGACCACCCTCTGATTACCGGCCGCGATGACGCCGGTGGCGGCGCCGCTCGCGGTGCCGCTGGTGATGACGACGGGGTTGTTGAAGGCTACGCTGACGGTGGCGGTCGCGGTGGCGTTGGTCGTGCACGTCGAGCTCGACGTCGCGCTCGGCTGACCGTCGCGCTGGAGGCCGGCGCAGTTGGCCGCGGGCGCGGAGCCGGGGCACGCGTTCGCCTCCTCCGCGAGCGAGCCGATCCGGCGCTGCGAGCCGCCCCAGCCCTTGCCGCAGGAGATCTTCACCGAGCAGCTCATCCTCTCATAGTAATCGCGGTACGGTGCGCATAGCAAAGCCAGTCAATTGGTCAATCAGTCAAACAATCGACGACGACGACGGGGTCACATCCGGCAGGACCGGTCCGGGTGAACGCCGGGGAAAGGGCCCTCTACCCGAGGACGGCGGCGCGCATCCCCGCGGCCGCGAATTCCGCTCCTTCGCGGCGCCCGCACGTGTACGACGGTTTTGCGTCGCGGTCGCGCGCTGCTCCGCTCCGCTCCTTCTCCCCTGTCAAGCCCGACTTTCCCGAGGCGAGGAAAACGCCGATCCCCCGCGGAGAAACTTTCCTCCCGAGCGCGCACGCCTGCCGCTCGCCCGATCTCCCTCCGATCGGCTCGGTTGCGTAAGAATATTCGTAGTCGCGCGCACCGCGGGTGAACGACCGCCGATTTGGTGAATCGGGCGCGCGCGTCCTTCTTTCGGCCGCCCGCTCTCGCGCCCGGCGCGGGTCGCGACTCGACTCCGGGTTGTCGCGCGAACTGATGTGTGTGTACGCGCGCGCGCGTCAAACTTCCGCCAGTGAAAACAGGCTGCGAGCGCGCGCGGTGGGAAGCGTGGGAGCGCGCGCGCGGTGTCGCGGCAGAGAGAGACCCAGAACGCGTACAATCTCCTCGAGCGTCGAGGCGAGACTGAATGTCTGGTGGACGACGAGCTGCCCGGTTCTCCAATGACGTCACCCTGCCACGCAGGCGCCCGAGAGTCTCGCCATGCTGCGAGCGCATCTTCCCTTTCTCTCTCTCCCCCGCGCTGTCTGTTCCTCTCCCTCTCCCTCTCTCTCTCTCCCCCCTCCCTCCCTCCCCGCCCCTTCGGGAACGAAGCGCACGATTATCGCGCGACGGCTGGAATACTCGCGGCGCAAATTGCCGCGAGCGCGCGGGGCCGGAGGAGGCTTCTTATCGCGCGCGCGCGCTTGCCGAGTCTGTTTGTCAACGGCGATTTTTTCGCCGACGCGACGCACCGTGTCCGACCTCGGCGCCCCCCAAACATGGCGGTTCGCGGCCTCCTCGGGGTGGAGAGAGGGAGAGAGAGAGAGAGAGAGAGAGATAGAGAAAGAGAGGCCAGCTCGCGGGCCGGACTAACCGTGCCCTCCCTGCGATCGATCGTATCGCGCGGCGCGGTTTTCGCCCGATTAAAATTACAACGGCGTTTTCACGGCGCTTTCCGCGTGGTAGCCACCGCGGGTGATCGATCTCGGGGAGCCCGCGGCTTCACCCACGGAATTAATCGCGCGAGACACCGCCGGCGATGCACGCGCGATCGATCCGCGGGATTCGCCCGCCTTCGTTCCGCTCCCCGCGGACGCCACTTCCGGCCTGGCGTCGCAGTGATCGAGGCACCTTTCTCTTTCGACGGCGCGATTGAGTTTGCTCCACGAGCCCGTCGATCTGCGAAAAACGCCGGGGCGAAGACCTGACGCGTTGCGTCTGCGTTATTCTATCTTGCATCCCGTATACGTGCGTTCGGATTTTCCGTTTGTTTCATATTTCACGACCTGCAGGTAGAATACTACCCTGAGAGTCGGCGGAAATTACATATTCCCTGAGGCGAGCTTTAGAGACGCGACGAGCTTTATATTTTTAAATTATTATTATTAGAGATCACAAGCTATATGTCTTTGAAAGAAAATTAACTTTGTTTAATGCAGTGGAAATTGAAGGGAGAGGAGACTCGAGTCGAATATATTGGCTTCAGTTTAGCCTCGTATAATTTTTTAATTGGGAGCAACGAGGTCGATCTAAGGTCTTTGTGTCGGAGAAAATCTATTGAACTTTTGACCTGAGATAAGCCTGAAAAGAGTTTTAGCAGTAAGAGGCCAATACGAGTGGATCAACAGAGGTTCGGTAGATCCTCTTCGGCCCAAGAGGTTTTAAAGAGGGTGAAGTATTTTATTACGTTCTCTTTGAGGGCTAGAATGAGGTCAAACACAATTGTTTTACTAATCTGGGCCTCAAATTGGAGTTTCAAACCGACTTCGAGGTCCAAATGAAGACAGAATAGAATAATTGAGGCCCATTCCAGGACCAAATGCTCGAGTTGGGGAGCCTACTATGTGGGCACCAAAAGTCAATGTCATTTTATTCTTAATTCTCTAAGAATTAACCTGAATAATTAAACGCTTCGGCTTTAACCAAATTAATTCCAATTAATTTCGAAAGAGCAGATTAAAAATGATTGAAAAACCACTGTCTAAGGTAATAATGCAATGTACAACTATCGGCATATTGGATAATTAATTAGAGACGCATAGACGCCGTTGGTGATAATTATAATGTGACTGTCGATTTTTATATTGTACTTTTTACATCTCGATATGCTACTCTTCCTCGATTCGAAAGCGTTCTCGCAGCGATATTGAAACGCCCGTCGCGGTTATTACAACGCGATGACGGCAAATCGCGGCGAACGGACTAACTGAACAATTAGCCGCGCGTACAAAACCGACCAGGCGAATATTTTCGCATCTATTTATCGGAGCGTTCGCGCAAACTATTATCAAATCGAAATCTCACGTTTAACGAGACGTGAAAATAATCTCTGTTCGCTAGACTAGCGATCCACAAATCAATAGAATTCGGAGACAATTTTATAATCGAAACGTTCGCCGTTTCGGAACTTTGCGTTGGAGAAAGGTACGCTGTAAAAAAATATGTAAAATTACATACGTCATAAGTGTAGCGATTATACTATTAATAATGGAAATATATAAATGTATGTACTGTTACAAACAATTTTTTTACTCTTTGTTGTGTAAATACTTGTTTATACACGATGAAAAATTACAGAACAGTGTAAAATTTACACAATCAAAAGCAAGCAGTTTACTTATTACATAAGGTAATAATTACAAGGAGTAAATTTACTGACGTATGTAAATATACACCTTTAATAGATGGTCCCGACATTACCCACTATAATAATTGTAATTTTACATGTAATTTTTTACAGTGTATATTCGTTTTCTCAATAAAAAAAGTTTCTAACTCACCGATTCGATGCGCAGCAGCGGAGTTTAACCACGCCGATTCTGCAACAATCATAAAATTCACATTAATACAGGGGATTCAAGAAAAACCAATATTAAGGAAAATAATTTTTAAGTCATTTAAAAGAAACAAGCGGAAGATTAATTTTATGCGAAATAAAAAATATTTACCGTAAAGTTGCTCCGCCGGCGCCCGATGCCTCTCCTAGACCGCTGTCTCCTCTCAGACTCCTCCATTTCGCACTGGCACAACGCGACACTCGCGAAAGAGGAGCTAATTACCGAAGTAACGCACGACACGGCACTCCCGGTGTTAATCGACGCGGACGTCACTGCAACGCGAACGAGACACAATCGTGCGAAATGACGGAAACGTTTTGGCGGGACGGACTCGCGAGGTTAACTTGACGCGCGTCGCGTTTGACAGGGCGATGTCGCGCGAACGTTTCTCCCGTCGCGCATTACGCGTGGAAAACACGGATATTACTGCACGCGCGAGGAGATGCGAATTGGAGAACTGGGTGTACTTGCGAGGTTACGACGGCGCCGTAGTGACGCCGACAGCGCGTGAGATTTCATCCGGGATTTCCCAGATTTACGCGTCTCGATGGATTACCGACGCGCGAGGGTGGCGGATTAACGTCGCGCGATTGTTAAACTGGACAATGGTAAACTCACCGCGATTGTGCGTACCGTGAAACGTGACGACCACCGCACGAGACCGGTTCACTGCGTGTCCACGGCGCTCCTCGAATGGACCAAACATGACGCCGCTCCCGGCGGCCACTGCGCGACGCTGCTACGGCGCGGCGGTACTACGCGAGTCACGTCAACGACGCAATGTATCTCGAGTAGCGAAATAGCGAAGTTTCTCTCTTCCGTGGAACGAAAACGACGTCCCGCGGCACCTGCTGAATCGATCAGCTCGATCGCGTGGTTGTGGCGTCGGTTAATTACGCGGAATATGATCGCGCACATCGCCCCGTGGCGTACGTGCCGGCGGCTCGAACGACAATGCGAAGCACGAAAGGTCTTCTGACCGCGCGGCGGCTCGACGTAAACAATCACCGAGCGGTGCGCGGGCTTGAAAAACATTAAAACAATATTGACGAATAATGAAAGATACGCGACGAAAGCGAAAACTTTATGTTATACGCGTAATTTTATACGTAATAATGTTGGAGAGATTATTTCTTGGCAAGCGATCGATATAGGTACATGATTAATATTTTCTTCGCCAGTGATCAATTACAAGCAATATTAATTAATTAATTAGAACTGGCTGTAAAATTTTATTTCTTATATCTTAAGTTATTCAATATTGTGGAAGGAAAACTACCAGAAACTACCGAATTTTGCCTCCTTTTTCGACAGGAGTAAAGCCAGCCGCGACACTATTTCTTTCTACGGGATTACGTGCTTTATCGACACTTTACAATTCAAATGAAGATTTGATATTTTTATCTTAATTGCGAGAAAGTAACTGCAAAAAGTAACGATTCGTTACTTTTTGAGTAACTGTAACTGTAACGCGTTCCGGAATTGGTAACTTGTAACTGTAACTCGTTGCATTTTTTAGCGAGACAACTGCAACTGTAACTAGATACTATTATAAAGTAACTTTCCCAACCCTGATAAAGACGCTACCGTTTTCCGAAGTAAATAACAGCGACGGAGATTACGCGACCCCGCGGCTGACGGACTCCGTGAGAGCCGCCGGGCGTTTTATCGAAGGCAGAGATACGGCTAACCCAATTAAAATGTTTAATCGACGCGTCCCCTCCGCCCCGCCGACGTTATCGCGCGTGTCACCGCAGTAACACGATGACAAATTGGATCGGAGCAGCGCGCGCGCGCGCGTAACGGAAGAGAGTAAGATGGATTTCAACGAAATCAACAGACAGCGATGCGGTACACATGTTTATACCATCGACAGCTGCTCTTCACGTGACCCACTCGCGCGAATGTCCCTCTAACAGCTGAATAATTATCGTAAACTGAATAATTATCTCTCTTTATTTTATTTTTATTTTTTACCCCGACGGACAGATAATCGCATAGCCCGAGTCGAATGTCGCGCAACACATCGTCGCGCGTCTATCGTGCGGCTGTAATTACGAGCGAATGTAAAAGCCTATGTCCACGATGCGCTAAAACTTGGCCCAAGTTCTAGTTCCGAGAGATGTGTAGCCAATCAACTTGCAGCTTTTATGGAATAGCTTTAGGCTGATGGCAGAGAACGATCCATAAACGCTTAAGACTGTCTTAAGGCCTGTGTCCACGATGCTAGAACTTGGTCCAAGTTCTAATTCCGAGAAACGTGCAACTAATCAGCTTGCAGTTTTTATTGAATAGCTGCAAGTTGATTGGCTACATATTTCTCGACACCAGAACTTGGACCAAGTTCTAGCATCGCGGACACAGGCCTTTAGGGGACTTTAAAGGCCTTTAAAGGCTGTCAAAATTAACAGACCCAAAACAGAAATGACAAACTCACATTATTGAAGCTTGGAGCGTTTTTGGCGCAAAGCTTAAAAGTTTTGTTATTTTTCAATAATTTTTAAAAAGTATTACTGGTGCACTCGCGGATCTCGTAAACGCGTGGACTGCGTCAAATCGCGAGAAAAAATTGCGGCGTGTTGCACTATCGCGTATTTCACGCGCTTCGCTTCGCATCGCTCTCGTTGGCCCAGTTTCCTCGCCTAAAGTGACCGCCAATTCCGCCTGATTGAACCTTTCGCGATACTGACTGAGATATCATTCCTCGAATTCTAATTGGACGAAACGCGCGCCGCGCGATACACGCGCTTCACCTCTTCCCGCTTCCCGGTCGCGCAACGCGCAAATAAATACTACGCAGTTGGAATCTACGACCCCCCTTGACCGGCAAACTCTCCATGGTAACGAGACTTCGGTTTCGATTTCAGATTCAGGCCGAAGGGTCGGGACTCGGGATATGTTCACGCACTTTCGGCCTCGCGCGCGTAACCTCGCCACCGCGGAGAGAGAAAGAGAGCCGCGTTTTCTCCACGAGGAGCATCCGCGATGCTCGAGTTTCAGCAACGCGTCACTCCGGAGGACCTCAAGGTCGCCGCGTCCATCGAGCGGAAGCGACAGATCGAGGAAGCGAGGAAACTGCGCATCTTTAATCCTCGCGTTAGAAAGATTGGGGTAAGTCCCGAGCGTCCCCCTCTGGTTAGACCTTTATTTCGCGCGAATGCGTTTGAACTTTTAATTCGGTTACGTAAACTCGCGTTCGTTTAATCGAGGGAATTGTTTGTACCGATATCCACCATTAAATCTGTCGCAATCCACTCGCGATTCAATTGATTCCGCCGCCCGCCAATATCCTAACTCGTAAATTCCGCAAGTGTCGCTCGGCGGAGCGCAACACGACGCTTGATTGATCTAACGTCTGGGAAGTAGTTTGCCTCAATGCGATAGGATTCACGCGATTGTCTCCCTGACATTTGCAGATAGACAAGGCGTTCTTGGATAAGCAAGTCGAGGAAAAGAAGCTACAGCGCGAGTGGGAACGGGCGAAAGAATGTCAATTGGACGAGGCTCTCCTTCGCAGCAGCGAGCACGCCGTGCATTTGGAGAGACGGCAGGGGGAGGTAATTGAGTGTGCCGCCAATGCCGATAATTACGCGGGAATGTCCGCTCGATGCCCGAGTCTTCGCGGCACTCGGCGTCGCGGATTTCGGTGTCACGTGCCACCGATCGCGTGGTATAATAGTTGTACCATGGTTATAGAAATATAGAGGAAAGTCTTCTATTATGAGATAGCATTCTAATGTGAGACGGCAGGTTTTCAACGTTCAAATTCAATCGTAGATCTTTTTACGCGATCTAACGATCAATTTTCCACTAAACAGATTTCGCTCCAAGGGCAATAAATTCATGGTGGAACCAACAGACGACGCCTATTAATTTAGCGGAAACCCCGCAATCTCATATTAGGGAGCCTATCGCATAATAGGGGACTTTACTGTGCCGATCGAGAAGCGAACGCTCTCCCGTTTCGCAGGAAAGGCGACGGATCGACAGGGAGGTCGAGTCCTTCCGGCGAGCGCATCAGCGAGCGGAGGACCGCCGGGATTACGACCTGTACGACCCCGAGGCGCTCAAGAAGTCGCTTCCACCGCGCGTGGACGACAACGGCGACGATCCGAGCTTGGGAGCAGCGTCCGCTCAGAAGTGCGTAAATAGCCTGATTAATGCAACAACGGACGGCGCGCAATCGAGAAGTCCCGGATAGGTTTTATCTCAGACACTCCAGGGGAAGATAGAGGGACGCGCTCGTCAAGCTCCCGACGACTCTTTTCGCTCTTTATTCTCGTAATTGTTAAAATCCCCGGGGACTACTAATTTCCGCGAGCCGCAGGCCGCGGCTATTGTGCGCGCGCGCGATACAAGGATACCTTTCCCCCCCCCGGCGCCCATTGCGAGAGAGATGATAATTTACCCCGCAGCCTGCTCACCCTGGCGCGATGGTAATGAGCGTGACGTCGCGGAAGAGAGGAGGAACGATGAAATATTACGGCTGCGCAGGTTCGAGGGCGAGGATCGCAATCTTGCCGAGCGGCTGAAGGCGCAGAGAGAGCAGACGCGTTGGTGGATAGGGAGGCAAAAGGAGGAGCGCGAGGCGGCCGAGCGGGCACGGCGAGACGCCGAGGATGCCTATCAGGAAGTCGTCCTCTCCAGGGACAGGCGCGCGACCGCGCTCGCGCGGATGGAGGAGGAATGCCGGCACAGGCTGAGCGAAGCCACGGCGACGTTCAATCGCGCTCTGGTACGGCCACCTCTTTGTTCGCACCTTTGATCCCGGCCCGACGCGAGAGAGGTAGGCGCGGGGGACTCAATTTATTTAACAAATTAGATCAAATCAACCGTGCGATCCTCAAGACGGGACTCCGGCACGCAGCCAGCGGCGGCAGCTGTTGCCGTTTCGCGTCTCGCGAGAGCTGTCTCGGGGACTCCCGGTCGTTTTTGCTCCCGCGTCTTCTAGGCACCGGCAAAAAATGAATTCCCTCGACCGACTTCATCTCTGGACGGAGGCGCAGGTCGAATGGGAACCAAGTCTGGCGAGTAAGATGGACGTTGGAGTAGGGTAGCGTTTTTGTTACGCCGCTTCGCGGAAAGAACTGCGGGAGGGGTTTCTAGCTGACTAATCGTTGATCGTGTCCGATTGAGGATAAGAGCATGTCTATATTTGAATACGCGCCCACGTACATCGTAAGCGAAGCGGTCGTCACATTCGACATGACGGTGTTGACACACTAGACACGTGCGGTGTTTGTCTCCGATTTCAATCTTTCTAATATATGTAATAGAGCCCGTCCTCTCTTTTTTTTTTGCGTGTCGCAACCCTCGTAGGAAAATCCCGGTCTGGCCTGATGTACGTGGAAAAGTATACGCTGCGGAAAAGTCTACTTTTGTTTAAGCTGGCGTCGCGAGTCAATGCAACGAAGAATTGTCATAGACGTACCCCCGTGAAAAAGTATAGTAAATATGTAGAAAAAGTATACGCCACTGCCGAGATACCTCAAGCGTCGCTGGCGTATTAATTTTCTCAAGAGCATAAGTGTAATCGAAGAGCGCCCGTGGTAATAAACCGAGCACAGATACAATGTAACCAAAGACGCGACGTGACTTTTGTGCGCGTGCATTTTAGCTCGCCCGCGAGATATAAAAGTCGCCTACGCGATTCTTTCGCGGTCGATGAATAAATCTCGTGACATCATCGTGCAAAGTGCCGCGATAATTTGCTCCGATAACCGCAACAAAGTGCCGTCGATTTCTTTTTTTCTCTCTCTGTCCCCACCTCTTTACCCCATGCCCCAACTCCGCATTAATCCCGTCCCTCCCCCTCGCCTGGTTCGCGTCCCTGGCCCTTATCCTTCGGCGCTCCGCGAGTGGTTTCGCGGAATTTATTTCCGCTCGATTGCAGGCCGAGGAGCAGCAGCATCGCCGTCACCGTGAAGCCGTTCAAGATGAGGAGGACAAGAAGGCGGAAATCTATAATCACGTGACTGGAGATTTCCTCACCGAGGCGAGGGAACAGGCCGAGAGCACCCGTGGCCCGCGCAAGCCGTTGGTGGACCGATACAAGGGCATGACTGCGGACGAGTTGAAGGTCTTCAGAGACGCTCAGTTGCAACAGATGGAGGAGATTCGTGTTAGTACAAGTGGTATTTCAGTACAATTTGTAAAAGCGCGAATTCTTATCATTTATTCCTAACTAATTTCGCCTTAATGCTCCTTAATATTCCTTAATGCTCCTTGGTATTTAACAAAACGGAGCGTTACAGGCTCGTTTTTTTAACAGTCGCATTGTAATACGAAAAATGTCGAAGTAAAAGTTTCGCGAGTCAGGTATATAATCGTAACAATGCACGTTAACGACAAAAACAGCGGACAAAAACTGCGGATGCGTCATGGCTGACATCACGGTGGATTCACAATGGCACGCACATAATATTGTATTTAAGATAAAAGTACTCGATTTCATGCAGCATATTGTAGATATTGACTTGTGAATCCATCCAGTGCTATTAAATTTTAATTAATGCGAGGAAACGTTTATCTCGCTCGGTTTTACAGAAAATCAAGCTGGAAGAGAAACGCATCAACGAGGATTGGGATCGTTTAATGGATTCGCATCTTCAAACCGCGTACTCGTATGAGCGCGAATTGAGTCAAAGAAAATCGTAAGCTTCGAAAACTAATTTTGTACTTGATTTTTTTCTCAATCATTTTGAAAGATATTTAAATGTATTATATAGGGTCATCGAAAAGTATCAGACACTTCTCGATGACCCTTTATATTGTAATAATTGTTTTCCAACAATATCTTTCGAGAAAAAGTATAATTTTTTTTTAATTTGAATTTCTCTGAGAGATATTCAAAAATTAAATAATTTAAGATAAAACGCGGACCGATGTTTGAACGCGCAAATGACATTTCAAGTGCTACATTGTATTCTTCTAGGGAGCTCAACAAGAAAATTGCGGAGGAGAATTTGCGGCTTGCCGAGCAGCAAAAGCAACATCAGGAATACCTGAACCATACCGTTTATAAGAATCAACCGACTGCCGCTTTCTACGAGCAATTTAATAAAGGAACACGTTGAATGCAATGTACTCTTTAAAGTAAGAAGGGTCAATGTAAATTCTAAATAAATACAAAATTATTTCGTAAACTTTTCTCGCTCTTTCTCTCTTGTAGATCGATAAAATCGATATACAAGCAACCTGCCATACCAACAGAATCAATGCGACTGCAATTTTCCTGCACTTTTCTGCGAATAATTGGAGCTACTTCCTGTTCTAATTATTACAATAAAAAAACACGTAACTTATAAATTAAAATCAAATTTATCGCAATTTTAATTAAAAGAATTGCTGTGACATTATCCAATCCCGGTAATGCAAAATTTTGCTGCTCTAATGATATTCAATACCTGGTATGCTTCATAAGCGACGCTGGATAAAGCTCGTAGCCATCGATAACTTATCGCATTTGATAAACGGGTCTAATAGATTTGGAATAATTCAAAATTGGTACGATATTAAAATGTCATATCACAATGACGCTCGCGAAACAACTTCAGTTCAGACATAAACATGCAAAAATGACCAGGAAATAGAAACGTAAAGTATTATACCATGTACGGATGTATAATGTATATTACAATTGAATTAACCTAGCGTGACAAGACTGTGCCATATTACGCGTACGACGTCTTCGTCTATTCGATTGTCGAGTAGAGCTTATAATATATCACAGTCGCAGTATTTATGTCCATGCGTACTTAAAAATTTATAAAATTTATCCGTTGCATATCTATTACGTACAATATTCACATACAAATAATTTATGCTAATTGTATATTATTTAATCCGTTTTGTTAGATTATAGAATTTGTGCAATTACCTTATTATGATAGCATGCTATATCTAATTATATTTACCGTAATCTCTTAATAAGTATTAAAGTACTTTGTCAAGCGTAAACTTTATAAACATTGAGATAAAATAGACGAAATAATTTTTATTACCTTGCCTAATAGAATTAAATTTTAGGCTGTCCATTCCAAACAATGTCCATTCCAAATTTCCACTAGTCTCATAAATAAAGTTCTGCAATGATAATCCGTCCAAAAAAAATAGTAAAACGAGACTAGATACATACAGGGTGTTTCAAAAAGAGTGGGCTGGCTATGTCATCATGTTGTTCTCATCATATTCCTAAAAACACTTTGTTAAAGCCAGCCTCGCCCTTCATAAAATACTTTGTGCTGTGTAAATAGTCGACGTAAGATCTTGTTCTATTCGGAGCGTTTTGATTCTTTTTTCCTGTTTTCGCTGCACCCCAAAAAAGCGCACTGAACGGTTATTTATTATCGGACGGACGGAGCGCCATGGCCAGAACTTGTTGCATCTGTATCCTGACGTCCAGCTTCTTTTCCTCCGGCACCTGCCTGATGATCGGCAGTAGCGAGAGAAGGAACATCTTGTCGTAGTCGTCCTCATCGAGGGTAACGCGCTGGCTGCTGTGCGAGGAGAGGATGTCGTGTATCTCGTTGTCGAAGGGCGTGAAGGACGTCTCGCAGAGCTGTTTCGAGTAACGCGGGCACACCTTGTACGAGGGAGTGCCCGCTTGAAGATACTCCCGGCTACCAGTTATGGAAGCACCGCCGTGAGCAAGGGGGTCGTACTCCTCGATCACGGGGTTGTCCATCTCGCCCTCGCTTTCCTCCGATTTGCAGGGATTAAAGGTCGCGGAACCCCTTAAAAAACAGGATCCAAGTCAGTCGAACGAAAATCGATTTTTTATTCTTTCCCGACGACAGCCGATACCTCTTGTTCTCCACTGTCGGCATGAGGAACAACAATCGATCGAAGTACATGTATTTCTTTCGTTTCCGCCCGGCGGGTCCAGATCCCTTATGCGACTTCTGAAGCTTCAGCTCTTTCATGAAGTAATCCCGTATGTTCCTCCATTTTCCACGTAAATTTTTCTCTGCAAATTATGTCGACTTAACAATTGAAATTTCCTTTGGATACGATACAACGGAACAACAATATGCCCTGCGCACAATAGAGGAAATATTGGAAATAGAAATAAGTATTACATGTTAGAACAGAGCAAAAAGAAGAAAGATTAAATGCAGCGCAATAAGAAAACGAATGAGGCTTTGAACGCGATAAGATACGAGATATAAATATAGGAATTGAGTCATAATCCTAAATATTTATATTCCAGCTTATTAATTTAAAAAACACGGATTTAACATTTATTCCTCTATTCCTAATGTTTCCTCCATTATGCGCAAGGCCTAAAAATCTTTCAAATATTTAAGGTTCATTTTACAAGATTTTCAAAACATTTTTTCATGCTTGCCGACCTCTTTCGCGAGGAGAAATAAAGAATACAAGGGGACACTAATTTTGACTAGCGAAGTACTTTTCAAGAAATAATTTTTATAATAAATTCCGTGATACAAATTTTCCTCTAATTTTTAATAAATATCTTTAAAGTCAAAATTAAATAAAGTACGCCATATAAAGTCAATCGAACGAACGCGGTGAAACTAAACATTTCCCCTGAATCTTTTGTCGAAGCTTGAGACCACGTGGGGACTAACTTTTCTCAACGAAACGCCTTTGTCCGATTCTCTCCCACATCCTCGACGCGACTCGGGCCCGGTTTCACCGAACGTCGCTTTACTTTAATCCGAGTTTAATCTACGTTTGTCTCTTTCTGGAGTAACAGTTGGAAAGAGACAAAGAACGAATTGAGCTGAGCTTAAAGTTGGTGAAACCGGACCTCAATTGTTTACGAATCCGATCGCGCGGAAGATATCGATTCCAAGTTCCCGGATTTCCGCGGCGCGGCGGCCAGTGGCGGCGACGCGGCCGGAGGAATCCGGATCGATCAATCGCGGCGGCCATGCTATATACCTTCCACGTTTCTCTCCTCGTCCGACAAGCGCGCCCAATTCGGTACCATCACCTGGCAAACCTCATCCCACGCGGTCATCTTGGCGTTACGGTCGTTGTACTCGCCGCGGTTCACGTCGTAGATCGCTGGCCGCCTCTCTATTTCCTCGATGAATCTCTCCGTGTCGAACATGCTCATAGAGCCCACGGGAGGCTTCCTTTCCCCTCGTGTCGCCTCTCGCCACGATTCTGCACCTTGCGGCGAAACAGTTCGACCGATACTTTCGCCAAAATCTCTCGGAAATCGAACCGGAGTCCTCTCGAGCACTCGGCGGAAAAGTAATTTCCCCAATTTCGAGCACGGATAAGGGGGCTCGAACGGCGGTGCCGCGTCGTTCTCGCCACCAGTAAGCCCGCCGCGGTGGTCGCCGGTCAATCGCCGATACGCTGAAAGCGATCGAAATCGGCAACGGAAAACAGCCGCAGTCGTGGCCCGGCGCGGCGTCGTCGTGTCGCGTCGTCTGCAGCGGCTTGCGCGTCACTGCGGAGAAACCGTTGCACGGCCAGCACGGCTTTGGGTATCATGGCGGCCCGGCGGCGAACGTGCGGTTGCGGTTGCGGAGCGGAATCTATGCCGCCCGCGACGTTGCCAGACCGGCGCGGGCGGCGAGGCCGCCGCGCCGCGTCGCGCCGCGGCTCGCTCGAGTCGGGAGCGGGCCGAAAGAACGGCGGAATCGCGTCGCCGTGCGTGCGTGCGTGCGTGCACACACGGACGCGCGCGCCCGCGCGACCCACGGGCGTGGAGTAATATTCGCGCGCAGAAATTTACGTCTCGCGAGCAGGACGGGCGGCGAGGACGTAGCTTTTTTCTCTTTAAAACTTTTCGCAATATAAATGTAAAAATTAAAATCACTTTCTTGTATTGGCTCTTGTTCCTTTGTTACTTTATATTTGTGTCTTCACATCGGAGCCTCGTGAATTTTACCAATTGTCCCTTTTGCTTCTTACGTGTTTGCGGTCGTACTCTTTAAATGGAGCCGAAAACTCAAGTTTCACGGCTTCGCTTCGGTTGCGTCAGTCGAAATGGAATTGACTTTCGAGAACCACGGACTTCCGCTTCCTGCGGCAGCTAAGGCTGCGTTCGGAAACGTCACCCGAGTGTCCTAGTGTATCATTTTGTCTTTGTTGCTCACCGAGTGGTGACAAAATGATGCGCTCGAGTGACGTTTCTACAGCTTCAACAAGAGAAGCTTTCGCGGCGGGAAGTATAAGTAGTAAGTTCGCTCCGTCATTTGTCTCGTTTCGCGTCGATCTCCTCCGCGCATCCGACATTGCTCTGAGCAGATCAGTGAGAGAAAAGTCCTACTTTTTTATGAGCACGTACACACGCGCGCACACGTCGCTGGATCCTGCCCGGGTGTTTGGCGGAAAACCACGTGATCGGGAAAATCGCAAAGATCAAAGGGGTAGACAGTGGACCTACCAGTTATACTATTTAACCGTACGCGAGAGTACGACACAAGTGTCCCGGGGTAGAGCCGCGTTTCATTTAAAAGTAATAACGCGTTGGGTATACATCGCGTCGCAATTGTCCGCAAAAGTAGCGTAAAACGTCGGCCGTCGCGCCAGATAAGAAAAAAAGAGCCTCCAACTTTACAAGTAACATTAGCGTAAGTGCCTCGCGAATGGCAATAACAAAGTTAGCGGAGCGGCGGGAGTCTATAAAGTCCTGCAAGTTGGGTAAATCACTCGCTGGAGACCCGAGGAACACGTGGGCGACGCGAGAGGAGGGGCTAAAGTGGAGAGAAAAGTGGCGCTTCAAGACCGCGCGAGACCGCCAATAAATATCCCTGAAGCGAGAGTCGAGTCGCCCGGCGAGCGAAGGGAGCGCGGACAACTTCATCCCGGCGGGGAGTTTCAAAAATAAAAGGCGAGAGGTGTATTTCGGTGCGGCGACGCGGAGCGCGGCGTACAGCGAGCGTCAAGGAGCTGAGCGCGCGGACGAATCGTTCGGCTCGCGGGCGAGAGACGCGCGTTCCCTCACGGAGAATCAAGCGCCGTCGGTCGCTCCAGCCCGGTCTCGCACCGGGAGATACACCCCCTCGTAGGCGAGTGCGGAATTCGCGCCGCCGCGGCGTTGCCAAGCCTCCGGCCGTCGGAATTCACGTGTTGCTACGCGACATCGCCCGCACGTCCGACGCGACGCGACGCTACGAGCGGTGCGCGCGTGCTGCGCGACGGCAACGTCGACGCGTTTCCACCGCACCGTTATCGACCGGGGCGTCGCGGGCGTTGCGGATCGCGAGCGCCGAAATCGACGCCGGGCGTCTCCGGGAGAGATCGGGGCGTCGCTGACTCCCGCTCGCGGGATCTTTTCCTCGCGAAGGAAAAATCGTTCGTGAAACCCCACCGCCCCTTCTCGCCTCTCAATACCCTTCGTTTAAAAATAATCGTACGAAACTGCGGAAACAACAACTCTCCCGATATCCCGTTCCATGCTTTTGAAAAAGAAAAAGCGGGAATAAACGAGCGAAAGGTTGTCGACACGTCCCGATGGCGCAACGTATGCGGAAGCTCATCGGAAAGTCAGATGAGCCGTGCGCGCGGCGACGACGGTCCGCGACTTCCCGCGCGCGCGAATCGAAAGACAAATAAAATAACGACACGCCCACGTTAAGCGGGGACCCCGAGCGGTAATTGCGAGAGACCGCGAGTGCCTATTTAACCGGTCGTCCGAACGTAGGTAACGATTCGCCGTAACGTCGCGCGCATCGATCCACCCGACCAATGGGGCGTGGGCGTTCGCGTCGTACGATGCGTGGCCTCATGCGTGTCGAGTTCCGGAGTGCGCCTTCGACTCTGCGCTCCGACGTTCGATCCCCAATTAGTCCGTCTATCGGAGAAGCTCATTAAGCCAACGGCACACGAAACTATTTTTCCTGCTGGATTGCTTACGAGAGCCAATCAGGATCTAGCTTTAAGTCGCCTGATCTGAAACTCTGCGTCCTGATTGGTCCTCGTAAGACAGGTATAAAAATTGACTGTAAACTGGCCTTAGTGTGCACTCAGTGCGCACTAGCGCGAGCAATCGAATTCGCTATGAGCCATAATTGCGCGCGCGCGCACGATTGGAGATGCGAGAGTCGTTACTCGCGATTCCCATAATTCCGGCCTCTCCTATGGCGTGCGATGTAGATTATCGCGGGTAAATCGTAACGATCGCGCCGCACGTTATACGTGACACACGTGCCGGCATTTACGTTGCCGGCACGCACGGTGTGTCCGTCTACTTGGAAAATTCCTCTCGCAGGTTTGTGAGAAGACTAGGCAGTTTCTTCGGTATTTACGTAGTTTCTTCGGTAAACGGGGAAAAGAAACCGCTTGTGTAAGCGAAAGCCCGCCTTTGTTTCAACAATTCATATATATAGTCGTGGATGGATGTTTTTTCGTCCGAGACTGGAGCTGTCAGAAGCCATGGTCGAAATAGAAACTTAATTAACGATTTTCAGTAATAAAATTGACCGAGCGACAAGGAAAAGGCTTTGAGAGCACAACGCGGTTAATAGTGCGTGTAAATAACGCTGTAATAATCTTTAATTATTAATGAGATACATAATATACGACGTATATGTATCTTATTTATAAATTATTATAATTACTGTAATGATAATATACGTCAATGTATAAACACTTTATCGATAATTTATCATTTACATTTTACAATAATTATATACCGATGTGCATTGTAACAATGTTTAATTATTAATCAGACAATTGTCCATATTAATGTATTAAAGGTTTGTTAATGACGTCAGTTCATGCGGTATTAACCGCGCTGCACTCTCAAAGCCCACGTTTTACTCGTTTAATTGTTTGACTAACACTACTAATGGGGTATTTTTCATATATGTATGTGTGTAACTTCGGAGAAACTCGTCGTTCACAACCGCAGTTACGACACTTGCGGTTGAAATTACACGCCGAGCCTTGGAAACATTTACCTTAAATGAAAGTAAAGTGTTCTTAAAAGTAATCCTTCAAATCTACAAGTTTACTTAAGAAGTTTTAGAGTAACCTTGGACACTCAAAGTAATTTTTAGATAGCCAAGCTTGCCGAAGTTCCCGCTAGAGGGCCGCGCGGCTTCGCACTTTCTCGTAAAAAGAAAACGCGGATATTATAAATTATATCGCATACCTTCCACAGTTCTTAAACTTTTCTTTTCAATTCTTAAAGTAAGTCTCAAGTTCACCTCAAATAAAAGTTTAAAGTGTCCAAATTTACTTCTCGTACTTCTTATTTTCCTAAGGTAAAATTTTTTCAGGTTTCCTCAAGATATATATTTTCCCAAAGAAGGGAACGATACGTCGCGATAATAGTTGCAATTATGAAATCAATGGAATACGTCAACGATGACGAACGCATAACGCAGCGACTTGGTCTATTGCAAGTATTCCAAAGACAAGTGGCCCAATCGACTTGATAAGCATTCGTGTCTCTCGCCAATTTCTTCCTCTCCGACGCACCGCGCGCGCGTGACACGAGAGGATAAACGAAAAACCGACGCGTCACGACAGTCGCGTGGCACGCCAGGGAGGACGAGAGAGAGAGAGAGAGAGAGAGAGTTGCGTAAAGCCCGTGTCACACTACGTATTGCGGACGCGGATTGGATTACGGATCGTACAAATAGACAGTCGTCTATCCTGCGATCTGCAATCCGGATCCCAAGTTGCCTCGCTGTGATTGGCTGAATTTCGATCCGCAATCCGTAATCCCAATCCAATCCGCGTCCGCAATACGTAGTGGGACACGGGCTTAAGTCAGGACCAGGACCTGCAGCTGGGAATGAGTGCCGGGGAGGGGAAGCCGTCCGGGTGGGAGCGAGACGGGCAGGTCTCGTATTTGGTGGTAGGGCGAAAGGGACGGGGGAGGGCGGCCGCCCGAGAGCCGAGAGAGACGCAGCGGTTTAACGAGCGGGGAAAAGGGCGGCTCCGAGCGGGAGGGGAAGGAGGAAGTATGGTGAGAGGGAGCGCGACCCTCGGTGTCGATAGCGGAACAAGCGAGCGACGGGTCGCAGGTGGGACGAGGAAGGAGAGCTAAACATAGAGAGCGAGAGAGATGAGCAGCTTCGGGGAGACTGAGTTTTCGCGCTCGCACGCTCCTCAATCCCGAGGTTCCCGCTCAGTTCTGTTCTTGTAATCGCGCCGATCGGCCGAGAGGTGTCTGAAGAGTCTCCCGGTTGCACCGACTGACGTTCCGGTCGCCGCCGATCCATCCTCGCCTCTTTCTCTCTTTCCACGTTCTCCACGTGTCTCGTCCTTCCACCGGTGATTCGCCATGTCGAGCGAGTTCCTTGGGAAGCGTTACAAGCTCTTCAGCAGCGAGAATTTCGACGAGTTCATGAAGGAGCTCGGTACGTAATCGAACGCCCGGCCTCTTGGCACCGGCCTCGTCGCCGTTCAAAGTGCAGCGGAAACGTTAATTTAGAACGTGCGCGTGATCGGCGTCGGGAAAACTCGAGCGGCGACACGTTGCGATTTCGCGGTTCGACCCGCTCGAGGTTTCTCACCTGGTGACGTGTCGCTGGACGTTCTTTGTCGTGCGCCATCGTTAAAATTCCAGTCTCCCGATTTTACGTTCGCGCGAGTAATTTCCCCCGCGGATCTCTTGTATCCTGGACAACCCGGATATCGAGCGTTGCGCAATACTTAACGAGGCTCTTCCTATGCTATTCGCCGTCGCGGTTTCCCGAAGACCTTGGATTATATCACTCGGTGTTCGGTATTGACCGCGAACGCCTCATTATCGTTAAATGCGACAAAATTGCGCGGTTCTGTTAACGATAGAAATCTAGAAGGAGTTCCGTCTCGCTCGTTCCCGACGAGGAAAAGGATGAGGTCCGCTTCGGACGACCTGTAATTTGCCGTACCGTGCATATTTTTATGCACGTGAATGCGTTTGCATACGTAGAGGAAAGTCCCCGATTACGAGATGGGATCCTAATATGGGATATCGGGGTTTCCGTTAAATTAAGGGAATGCTGGGAGTGATTCTGCACCTTTTGCTCCTAGAACTGCCAATTCATGAAAACATTTGTATAATATACAAATTGTGTGGCTTTTGTGTACAGGCCGACAGTGTCCCACTGTTCAGATTAAGTGAAAGAACAGCGTGGTATCGTTGAAATTAAGTTTAGGAGCTCAACACGAAGTCTATTCACTCGAATAAGTTATAGGTTAGGTATTCGAGGGAATAGATTTTTTTGTTAAGCTTCTAAACTTAATTTCAACGATACCATGCTGCTGTTTCGCGGAAACATTTGTGTGATATACGAATTAAGTGGCTTACGTGTCCAGATCGAAAGCTGCTTGCTATTCCGGCTAAATTAAAGAACAACATGGCATCATTGAAACTAAGTTTGTAAGTCTAATAAGAAATAACAGTGAGTAACATACTTATTTCTTATTAGATTTACAAACTTAGTTTCAGTGGTGCCATGTTGTCCTTTAATTTAGCCGGAATAGCAAATTGCTTTCGATCTGTACACGTTAGCCACTTAATTTGTATATTACACAAGTGTTTCCGTGAACTGATAGTTTCTAGGTAAAGGTGCAAAAGTGCAGAATCACTCCAGCGTCCCCTTAATAGGCGTCGTCTGTTGGTTCCGCCATGAATTTATTGCCCGTGGGGCGAGATCTGTTTAGTGGAAAATTCATTGATTGCGTAATCGTTGCGAGAAAAGATTTGCGATTGAAGACCTGCTGTCTCATACTAGAATCCTATCTCATAATGGAGGACCTTCCTCTATTTTTACACAAGTGTGTTTTGTACACGTATTTTTGTTCCCCGAGCATTCTCCGTGTTGTGCGGCACATAAGAAACATTACAAGAATTCTACTAGTAATAAAAATAACAATTCTGAGATAAATGACCGTTTGCGTTGGTTTACAGAAAGTAAAATCGCAATTGGACTATACAATTTTCTCTATAATATTTTATACAATTTATACGTCACTTGTCGGCGGTTCTTCATCTCCTCAGATTGCACATTTTTGTGAGAAGCAGAGCAAGAATTATTCTCCAATTTTCCTTGTCATTTTTCTTGTGCACACGAGCAGAGATTGCACAAGAGGAAGACGAGACGCGGGCACGCAATCGTGCAGGAAAGACTTTTTCTAGGAAGTCGTAGATTGCGGACAGGTCTCTTTAAGATAATCTCATTTGGCATATGAATCTTTAACGAACCTCCGAGTCTATCGTTGCAAATTATAGAGGAGGCAACTGATAAAGTCATCAAGAGCCCGCGTATGATAAAACATTGGCAGGTGCGTAGAGCGCAAGTGGAATCTCTCGCGGGCGACGTACTTACCGGGGCGCCGCGCGATGTAAATTGCTCTCTTAAGAAAGCGGCGGACACGATTGCACGGCAGGCCGTATTATTATCGTGACGAGATCTGTCGTTAGCTCTGTTCCGTGTACACGCTCGCGTGGCGAGGCCGGCAACGTCGGCGATCTCGCATGCGTGTACGAAACGTGAACAAGCACGCGCACGTGGCTGATATGTGGAAGGCGCGGGGTAAACATCACAGGCCCTCGGACGTTTCTCTCGATCACGGAATTTCGAGGAGTGGCAATGGAGAACGATACCAATTTTGGCGGACAGTCGCGAGAGAGTCGCGCGCGATCTGCAACTTGGTTCGCATTTACCATCTCGATCCGCGAGCGAAACCGCCCGCAAGTGCGAACAACGTGAGCGCACCGCCTAATTGGTTAATTAGCCGCTAAACTCGCTTATGCATCAGCGAGATATCAATGAAGCCCGGGCGGTTAATCAATTTTAATACGTTAAATTACGCCCCCTCACCTCCGCGTACAACGACCTGACCTCGATCTTAATTTCGACCGTGCGCCGCGGACTGCCTGATTGCGGTCTAATTTAACACTTGAATTAATTCACCAACGGGATTAATAAATCCCGTGATTGTCAGTCGAATCACGCGAGCGCGCATTGTACGGCATTCGTGCCGATACAAAGTTTGCTCATCAATCGTGTGTCATCCTGTTGGGTAACGGAAATCGCGTTCAGATTCCGTTCCTGGAAGCAGAGACACCTTTGGACTAAAAAGCACTCGATTTTGTTTTTAATACCGAAGAGAACGCTGTTATTGCTTTCAGCGAGACTGATAAGTTTATCCGCTTATCTGATGTTTATGGACTTGGAGATAAACTAAACAACCTAGATAACGTTGCATATAATCGGCACACGATACTACATTTCCTACTAAGACCAATAAGGACGCAGAGATCAGGCGACTCGAAGCCAGATCCCGATTGGCTCTCGCAAGTAACTCAGTGGGCAAAATGGTATCGTGTGTCGTTGGCTTTATATAACAATATTACCTAGTCAACAATGTAGAGGAAAGCCCTCCATTATGAGATAGTAGGTTTTCAACGTCCAAACTCAGTCACAAATCTTTTCTCGCAACGATTACACGATCTAACGGTCAATTTTCCCACTAAACAGATGTCACTCCAAGGGCCATAAATTCGTGGTGGCACCAACAGACGACGCCTATTAATTTAGCAGAAACTCCGCTCTCTTATATTAAGATCCTATCGCATAACAAGGGACTTTTCTCCAACTGTCACGTACAATATACGTCACATTACGTTTATCTTGTTGAGCGGGAAATTGTATCCATGTAAAGTAACTGGTGTGTTCGCTGGCTATTGCTATCGTTAGAGGTGTGACATTTTAATATTATCTTTACACGCAAAATATCGCAAAATGCCCCAGGAACGTTTTTAATGTCATTTCTTTACACTTTGGAGTCTCCAACTTCGTTTTAACACGTTTTAAAACGTAAAATGACGCAAAATAGCGTCCAAATAACGTCAAAAATCGCAAATTTCCTTAGTAAACATTTCTAACGTCAACGTTGTGTTCTAAACCAAAGAGATTTATGCCTAAGACTAGTTTTTGTTAATTTTTTAGACATGTTACTGTTTTACAGCCTGAATAGGATGTAATTTCAGTAATTTGTTGCATGCTATTTTAATATGTTGAATTTTTTAACACAAGTTTAGCCTTAATAAATATCGTAAATTGTTCGATCAAAACATCAAGGCCGAGTTTCGCCAACGTCGTTTAGCTTTGAGCTTAGCTTAATTCGTTCTTTGCCTCTTTCTGAAGTAACAGTTCGAAGTCCCAAGTCCGTCTTATTGAAGCCCTGCCCACCTCTGACCACACGGCGTTATCAAAAACATTATCAAAATAATGCAAAATCCGGAAAAAGAACCAAACGCAAAGAGTGCCGTAAAGTAACATCAAAACGTCACACCTCTGGCTATCGTTTACAGAAATGCGTGCGTGGCATGCGCGAGAGTATATCGAGCTCGGGTCCGTGGGTTCGCCAAGTCCAGATGGCCGGATGCGGATCAGCCGTCCCTGCGGGATAATCGTGCGTTACATTTTTTTTTTCGACGCCACTGTTACGCGCCCAAGTGCGCGGCTTGTAGCGAGGTGCGATCGTAAATTGTACGTCGGCACGAGACAAGTCGGTACTTCGGTAGCAGAACCGTTGACGGGCGGATAGACGTTTCCCACTCCCCCGCTCTAGGTCGTTACGGTAATCTTCGGGAGAGCGGTTCGCCGGAAATTAAATAAGAGAGCGAGTCTAGACGCGTCTTCCGACGACGCGTCGCCGCCGCGCGATCGCGTCGCCGGCAAGTCGCTCCTTGTGGCCTTTTCCACTTTTCCGAGAACCGCGCGGCCGAGGCGGCGAGATCGATAAGCGACACTCGCGCGATCCAAGCGTAGACCTGCTATTTCGTTATCACCTGGCGGCGCGATAAGAGTGCTTCGGGTTTTTTTTTTCTGTCGAGGTCACCCAAAGGAACGGCCCGCCGCGGCACGTTCGCCGTCGAGCGCGAGTCTTCGCGAGCCTCTTGGTCGAATCGACGATTATTTCCTCGCGGATAGCAGATAATCGCCCTCGCGAGAGCTCCGCGATAAAAGAATCGTGGCTAATTTGTTAAATCAGACTACGTGTTGCAATCGGCTAGGATGACGAATGGACCTTGACATTTCGCAGATAAACGTTTCCCATTGACGATCGATTATTTTCGTAAACGACTACGTCCGATTCTAGCTTCAAGAGAAAACGCTGGTCGAAAAGGAGATTTCCATCTATGACGAGAGAAACGTCTCTCGTCGAATGCGGCCACGTGTACGCAATGTTCATAACGTGATGTCACTCGCGGGTGATAATTCACGGTGTCTATAAATAGCGCGAACGGGTGGGTCAAACTTCAAAGTTTACTTCTCTCGTTCCGCAGTTTTCAACCGAGTTCCGCCGACGATAAGCCCCTCGTTCTACCTACGATATAAAGTCTAATCAATCGCAGAAGCCGGGCATGAGGCATGCAAACCGGCCGGGCCGCTAGTCAGTCCCGTTCGTGCAGTGGTCGGTGATAGATCGAACGATGGCGTCGGAACTACTAACCGGTATCCTGGGCAAGCGTTACAAGCTCCAGTCGAGCGATAAGTTCGACGAGTACATGAAAGCCTTAGGTGAGACTAGGTGCACACAAATCTGCTTTTTTTTTCGGGAGAAATTAATTTGAAAGTACCTATCGTCGGAGTGGATTCCATAGAAAACAATAAGTAGAAATCTAGGAAATAATTGAACAATTCCGAACATTTCCACGATAGGTGTCCTGATCAATTTTTACATTCGGCGAACTTCATACGCGTTTTTTTCCGCGCACGAATTTTTTACCATCCTTTTTTACCAGGAATAGATTTTTTCCGTGACAATCGAGAACCCGATGGCCTCTGGATTGTATGTACATAGTCAGATCTTTTATTCAAGACTGTCTTAAGATCATCTTTAGACACTCCGTAGCCAATGAAATGTTTCATGCAGCATCCTTAGGTAAATTCAAGACGGTCTTGAATATCAGATTCGACTATGAATACCGGCCTAGGAATCACTGATGCCTCTCCACATGAATTCGTGCACATATCGACGCATTTATACATTTTGCATATACATGAAAATGGGAAGACATTGGTGATTCCTCGTGTATACTGCAGGGAAACCCGGGCCGGTATTTATAGTCTTATATTTCAAGACTGTCTTAAGATCATCTTTAGCCACTCCGTAGCCAATGAAATATTCCATTCAGCATCTTTAGACAAATTCAAAACTGATGGTATGAATACCGATCCTAGTGTCCGAAAGAGACAGAGAGAGGGGAGGGGACGCGTTTCAGAAGTGCCGGCAGATAAAATATTCATTTCCCGTTTAACTTCGAGTGGACTCGGATAGATACGTGATTTCGAAATTATCTTAATCGAGTCCGATACGTCACAACGGTGGACGCGCTTCTCGTTAACTGCGCGATTCTACCTTCCTCTTTGTTCGCGTTCACCGAATTCAAGTTGTGAACTTGCGAGCAAAGTAGGAGTTCCAGGACGTGTGCTTTTCAAGGATGGCAATTGATAAACGCGAGGAGACGAGGGCTCAGCCGCGCGACACGAACGCAACGCGGGGCGGATAAGGGGCGATTTTTGAAACCTGTGCGTCTTCTTTCAGGCGTGGGTATGGTGACGCGGAAAATGGGCAGCACCGTTAGCCCCGTCGTCGAGCTGACGGAGAAAGACGGACTGTACACCCTGAAAACGACCAGCCCCTTCAAGAACACCGAGATCAAGTTCAAGCTCGGCGAGGAGTTCGACGAGGAGACCGCGGACGGCAGGAAGGTGAAGAGCGTCTGCACTATGGACGGTAACAAACTCGTGCAGGTGCAAAAAGGCGAGAAGGACACCACAATCGAGAGGGAATTCAACGCCACGGAGATGAAGGCGGTAAGCACGGTTTTCTCGGAAGGATCAACCTGATCCTGCACTCGCTCGCATGCGATAAGCGCGATTAAAAGTAAAAGATCTCTATAAATAGATGCTATTAGTAGTTTCTTGGAGCGAACCTCTAAGTTTGATTAATTATTACTTTTCATTAATTGCTCGATTGCTTCCGACGTTTAAAATTGATCTCGATTTTGTATGAATCATTCACTCGCGAAACGAGCCCCATTTTGATCAAGCTGTGCGACTATTTATTATTAACGCTATTGAAAGTTAGCAGGAAGGTAACGCTGTCCTTCAGCCGGTAAACACTAAGCAAGAAATGTCTCTTGTTTCTATAGACGTGTCTTATAAATATGATAAGTTTGCGAGATTAGTCACCTTGTATTAGCATTTCTTACGAAACGGCTGGCAACGTTATCAACGTTAACGCACACAGGCGGCATGTTTACCACGATTCGGCTTAAAATATGTACTTCAATGTTCGGTGCACGCGGGAGATTAGCCGTGACGAGAACTGAAGTAAATCCCGAGAGAAAGAGTCGTGTTCACTCGTGCAATTTTGATTATTACATCGAGAATCGCGGTACTTAATTAACGATCCGCGAATAAATTATACAAATTGCACGTTTCGTCGCGGCTTTGGGCCGTCCACGGCGACGTGGCGACAGCTAAATTAAATAACAGTTTACACAACAATGAAATAATCCCACGTTCCCCGACGAGCGCGAGATGAGCGTGCAAGAATTGAACAAAGTAATTTTTTGCGATGAATTGACAAAGCCATTATTACGTTCGCGTGACGTGGTATCGCTTTAAATGCCCCCCCATCAAGCCTGCGAACCCGGGTTGCGATGTGGCAAGAAGGCGAGTTATATCGTACGTATAGAAATGACACGAAGACGCGTCTGTCGTGCGTGCGCGCATCCTTCCTCTCTAAACACTTGAACTTTGATTCGTCTCGGCTGATGCGGGCGCAGGAGTTGCCCGATTAAAGTATAAAAGCTACGTGGAGGAACGCCGGTGCCCGGGAGGGACCGTTGCACGAGCGGCTAATGTTGTAATGATTCGTCAAATGTCCGGCCAATTATCGCGTGCGCTCCTCCTGTTCGTGACACGTACAATTCTACAGCTACCGAGCTCCGAAACGGTGCCAATAAAGATCCATTGATCCGTCTGGCGATACGCGCTAATACCGTGAGACACCGGCGCAGGAATAATTCCCGCACTCTTTTTCTCTCTCTCTCGTACTTGTAGAAACCTGCTATTATTAATTCCGAGAGATTACCGTTACCGGTGCGTGGTCTGCCGCTATCAAATATTAACCGGTAACCGCGCGCTATTTCTGTTGCAGATCATGAAGGTCGATGACATAGTATGCACGAGGGTATACAAGCTTCAGGAATAGGAGTCCACTACTAAAGCTGAGGGCGTGCACAATCTCACACAGGTGCTTCTAAAAGTATTCCAGGACCGTGTAAATTATCGTCTGAAATCTCGCTTGAGCGTAAATATAAGAAGATATATGCTAACACTTGGTGTTAGATTTTATATATATGTATATTGACATATATACAAAGCTAAATATCAGCCACGTTTGAAGTTTAATTTACAAAAGCTACAAAACTTACGTTTTCTACGCAGTGGAAATTCATGTATTTGACACGTATGCGTTCGTAAAATGGACGCATCGTACGAGAACCGCAGCGTAAATAAGCCATCTGTTGTGCACATTTTCTATTCGTGTATCGCGTATTACGTAATGAAATATGTGATACCGTCAGCGAATTATGTTCCACATACAGCAATCGCTGTATTACCTATTCTATGAATAATGTTTGCTTTTTTTTTCTACGAATAATAATGACTACTGGAAATATATGTATGTGTTTTCATTATAAACATTTCCCGATCCTCGCTATATATATGTAACGAAATCAAATCTCTATTATTTAAAACAAGTCTAAAACGTTTAAAAGGAATGAGAGAAAGGAAGCGATTAAAATACGTTCAAATATGTTTGGGTGCTTATTAAATAAAGTGTTTAATGTGAAAATTAATGTTTTATACGTAGAGCGAGATAGAGATATGAGCACATCGTGGCAATGTAATAATTATTAATTTATTGAGTAAAAAAATATATTAAATTATATTTATTAAGTACCTTTGGAACGTAAATACGCACATCGTGACATATTTTACCTCTTGCTTGATACGTCCGTATCACAGTTTAACCGTTCATCGCCATTTAAACGTCCATATCAATTAATGGAGAAATCTGCAAATGAAATGTACAAAATGTTTTATCGCGTACCAGATATTGTATCGTAAAGTATAACTGACTATGCGAAATACGTGCTGTGAGGATCAATTAGTACTAAATTAACGATTTGATTGTAGAATTTTCCATTATGAAGAACCTTACATAATATTCCATGTAACATGTCTGTCCACATTCGGTTTTAATCATATACTGAAAACTCATCAGGCCGGTGTTATTGATTCTTATGGAGACTTTGTTAGCGCACGATAACGCTTTCATCGCCGGTTTAATGTGCGTTAATTTGAAACTGGACGTTGTCGTAGACGTACACTGAAACGTGTCTATTAGATCGCTGTCGTGCGGCAAGTCGACGTGACAAATACCGCCTAGACCTTCCGTGCTGATTCTGAAGAAGGGTTTCTTCGGCGATAAATGGAACTAGAATGCAAGCGTTATATCTCAAAGAAGTTTGTCCATCGAACGCAACATTCTAGCTATCTCAAAGCCGCTTGTTGCATACCTCGACTAGTTCGCTAGTTGGGTCTAACTCGGCCACGATGTCCTTCAATAATTCTGTTTGCAACACTACTTTATTTACGACGTTTTCTGGGTCAAGATGAAAGTCTAACAATGCGTCTATTTCTAAAGTTTTTAACGAGCAGTCTGTTATGACACCGTCCTCTTCAATGATAATGCTCACAGGATAACCTGTGCCCTATAATGAATAATCGACATGCTACTGATATTGCTCAACACTAAACGGTACGAACTTTAAAATACTTTCTTTGATTTAGTACAACTCGGGAAAGAAAATTTAAAAGTTTATATTAAATTGCGTCTGTTTTGGACACTCTAAATTAATTTAAAATGAGATTCACAGGATACTCGGTGCCCTATAATGAATAATCTATATGGTAATGATATCGCTCCACATTAAACAGTACGAACTTTAAAATATTTTCTCTGATTTAGCAACTCGGAAAGTGAAATTTAAAAGTTTATATTAAATTGCGTTTGTTTCGGACCCTAAATTAATTTAAAATGAGACTCAAGACGAGCAGTATTCCAATTTTACTGAGATGTCGGATTTACTTTGTAAAACATTTGCACCGCAACGGAGTCTTCTTGCGAGGTAGGCCAGAACATACAAAGGCACTCTACCAATATGTTTAAACTTAGTGAAAATGTCGTGTCCTCTTTCAACTCGAACTCGTCGAAAACTGCAGACGGGATGTACGCGCTGGCCTGCATACATTTTGCGTCTTCGACCGTGACTTTCAACCCGTTTTCACTGCAGAGGCAAGTAGCTATCTAAATAACACGCCATACATTTCTCATCATTACAAGAAAGACTACGTCCTAGCATAAGTGCATCCTAAGTACCTCCTTAAAGTTGATAGCTTTCAATAATTGTATCACAATCTTTAGATTTGTCAATCCCACTTTTGCGACCAACGCGTGATCTTCCGTGTTAGAGGTCGCCATGTTTGTCTGAACTCTGATACAACAGTAAACTGTCGAACTGTTTCTTCGTTAATTGTTGGTGCAATAACTTCTGCTTGTCGACACTGGCTAGCCAGGCTGCCAAAACGTGTTTACAAGTGAAAGCAGACCGATCTGTTAGAACCTGACATCTGTAACGTTGTAAATAAAAATCTTTCGTAGTACCTTGCGTACAATAGATCCGAGATATTGTTCCTTATTACGTGTAAAATTTTGTAAGATATAATTGCGCAAGCTTTTTGAGCGAATAATTCATTCATACGGGACGTTATACCTGAAAGAGGCGCAAGTGCAATAATTTATTTCCGGAAAAAGCGTGTACAGTGCTCCGGAGTGTCCTCTAACTTGCATTAACCAGCTGGCTTCGTCGACGCTCTTGCACGGCTCCGTTATAATTGCGTTAGACTTGGTAATTTGTGTCACTCGTTGCTGCTCGTACAAATCTAATGCCCTCTCAAACGTTCCGTCAAACAGCTTGTATAGTTTCAATAGATTCTGATCAGAGACTGAAAGTATTTTTCATACTATCACCACAGATTACATTACAGATACTTGCGGCTTGACACTTATATTAGGCCTTCTTCAAAGAATAGCCGCAAGTCAGCTGCACCTTCCAACGTTCTCGGTATCGTCGCCAACTTCTCAGACAAGGAAAATTTAATGAAGAAAATCAATACCTTCGAGTGAAATAATTGGAGGTAATTTCTACTTCGAGGTAAAGAGGAAAAATGTGAAAAATGGAGAAAATTTATTTCTCCATTTCATATTCGCGATATTGTTCGAGAGACCGAAGCAAGCTTGTACTGTTCTGTTTATAAATCGAAGAATGTGAAAGAAAGTGCAGCTGCAAGAGGTCGTTAAGCGGCGTAACTGAGCAACGTACATTTGCCCTCTTTCTCGAAATCGTCGGCCGCCTCCTTCAATGCATTATCTACGAAATCCACATACTTTCGATCGTACACGGTCGGCGACCGCGACCCGGCACTCGCTACCTGTTGATCCGAATTCATGGGCTCCGAAAAAGTATCTCAATCTCCTGCGAAAAGCTCATTTGTTATAGCATAACTCACGTGCTTTTAGAGCGCGGTTCGAATCCGACGACTCATTTCTATCAAACCACGAGCGAGCCAAGAAATAACGTCGAATATCTGTCGACCGGACGATTACGCGCCCGAGGTCAGAGGTTATTTCCACCAGTTGGCGCGCACAACGCAATGGTGCCAATCTTATAATACGAATTAAAATCTTAAAGCCCGTATCAGACTACGGATTGAGATTGAGGCTTAAGGTCTATTCTTTAGGCTGGGTCTACATTGGATGTCGTAAGTCGTGTCGGAAGAAATTGACCAGTCACAGTCTAAAGCCCGCTGCAGACGATGCTATTTTTCCTGCTGGATTGCTTGCAATCTAATAAATTACTATCGTTGCACCATTCAGCACTCAGGATTCCTAGTAATTTAGTAAATCGCAAGCAATCCAGCAGGAAAAATAGCATCGTCTGCAGCGGGCTTCAAGTGAGGAGAATAATCGCTTGTGATTGATCACTTTCTTACGGCTTAGGCTGGATTCAGACTGAACGCGATGAGCGATGAGCGACGAGCGATTATCCAATGGGCGAACAGGTTACATGGGAAAGCTGTACGCCCATTGGATATCGCTCGTCGCTCATCGCTCATCGCGTTCAGTCTGAATCCAGCCTTATGGTGTCGGAAGAAATTGACCAATCACAGTTAATTATTCTTCGACCGTAAGGAGGATAAGGCTGGGTCTACATTGGATGTCGTAAGTCGTGTCGGAACAAATTGACCAATCACAGTTCATTATTCTTCGACCGTAAGGAGAATAATGAACTGTGATTGGTCAATTTCTTCCGACACGACTTACGACATCCAATGTAGACCCAGCCTTAGCCACGTTCAGCAGACACAACTGTTGAGTAAGCGCTCAATGATTTCTTAATATGATTGACTGGATCTAAAAGTATTAACCAATGGCCGCGTTCAGCAGACACAACTGTTGAACGAGCGCTCAATGATTTCTTAACATGATTGGCTGGATCTAAAAGTATTAGCCAATCATACTGAGCGCTCACTCAACAGTTGTGTCTGCTGAACGCGGCCATTGTAGACCCGGGCTAAAGGCCTTCACACATAAAATTCCGTAAGGACGTAAAACGTAAGCATAAGAAAATCGACCAATCACAGTCGAGAACGTAAGGCAATGACGCAAGCAGTAGCAAATCCAACCTGTTGATTTTCTTACGCTTACGTTTTACGTCCTTACGGAATTTTATGTGTGAAGGCCTTAGTCCCAGTCTACAAT